GTTTACACTAAAAGATTTATGTATGTAGCAGTGCACTTAAGACTACTCTTTGTATAAGCTTATTTTATAAATAGGCTACTCTAATCAGTGCAAGTAGTGAGACTATGTAAAATGTCTGAAGAATTTTAATTTGGCAAATATTTTCCTGGGAAATGTCTAATCTATGAAAATACTAAATTTCTATTGTAAGAATTTATGTTTCCACTAAACATTCAGTAAAGGTAATGTGGTTTCCCTACTATGCACAACATAAGACTTTTGGTGTCTATTAAAAACAACAACAAATCCCTGAATTCTGGGAGGTTGGTTACATCTCTTAAGTGTGTGTAGCACAAATAACCAAATCCTGCTCCATAGTGTTAGAAAATGTCTGATGTATTCAGGAAGACTATTCAAAAAGAATCTGAATAGTCTTTATTCTAAAGGGCGTGGAGCAGAATTTTATGACAATGGAGAGGGTTAGCCCCCAATGTGGCTGGCCCAACCTTAACTGTCAACGTTAAAAAACACACCAAATATTTCTATAGTGATTTTTGCTGTAATTTATTTACTTCAAGTCACAGGTCCACTGTAGGGTTCTCATAAGTCATGTAGCAAGTGGTTTACAAATAAGCACAGTCTGTGATGGTATCATCAAACTAAGAGATGGAATTGCGAATTCTTTCCTTATCTGAAAAGCTCATGCATGGTATGATTATGGCATACCGGAGATGTACCTTGCTCCAATTAGCATCAGCAGGCTACTCACTATGAAAAAGCCCAAGGGCAGACTAGAGAAGGCAGGGGAAACAGTACTTTCAGGAGTCTGAGTTGTAATCCAGCCCATTGACTTCTGCGTAGCTTTCTTCCATGTAGAATAACGAGTGTCGCTTTCCATGGCATTGATCTGTGGCTCAATCCGTTCCATCACCACGGCTGACAAATCCTCGGGCTTAAGACTCCAAACGCCCACCCCTTCTGCAGCTCCCGCTGCCATGGCGGCTCCCAGTGCGGTTGTGTCAGCTACAGTGGGCTTCATTACTGGAATCCGCAGAATGTCTGCTTGTAGTTGCATAAGAATTTTGTTTTTGGTCATTTTCCCATCCACCTGCAAATGGCTGAGTGGAATTCCACAGTCACGGTTCATGGCATCCAAAATCTCTCGGGTTTGGAAACAAACAGCTTCTAATGCAGCAAAAGCAATATGACTTTTATTGGTGAACTGAGTGAGCCCACAGATGATCCCTCTGGCGCTGGGATCCCAATGAGGTGCATATAACCCTGAAAAGGCTGGGATGAAGTAGCAGCCATAAGAAGTACCTGCTTCCTTAGCAAGTTCTTCAATTTCTTCTGAGGTCTCTATAATTCCAAGATTGTCTTTTAGCCAGCGAATAACTTCACCGGCTATAGCAACCGAACCTTCCAGTGCATAACATGCTGGCTTGTTTTTGCCTAATTTGTAAGCCACTGTGGTCACAAGGCCGTGGTCAGAAAACACACACTTACGGCCGGTGTTACACAGTAAGAAGCAACCTGCTCCATACGTGTTTTTGGCTTGCCCTTCCTGGAAGCACAACTGTCCCACCAATGCAGCAGACTGGTCCCCCAAACACCCAGATATGGGCACCCCTTCTAAGGACCCAGCCTTCATTCGGCCATAGATCTCAGAAGAACTGCAGACGTTGGGAAGAATGTTCATTGGAATTTCAAAAAAGTCACAGAGCTCCTTATCCCATTCCAAAGAGTGGATGTTGAAGAGCATCGTCCTGCTTGCATTTGTCACATCCGTGCAGTGGACGCCTCCCTCCGCGCCTCCCGTCAGGTTCCAGATGAGCCAGGAGTCAACGGTCCCAAAGAGGGCTCTCCCTTCTTCCACAGCCTTTTGAATGCTTTCCACATTGTCCAGCAGCCAACGAAGTTTCACGGCGCTGAAGTAAGTGCTCAGGGGAAGGCCCGTCTTGGACTTGACAAAGTTATTATTTCCTGGAATTTTTTTGCTCAGTTTCTCCACGGTAGACTGGGTCCTTAGGTCCAGCCAAGCGATAGCGTTGTAGAGCGGCTCTCCGGTCAGCCTGTCCCAGACTAGAGTGGTTTCCCTCTGGCTGCTGATGCCGATGGCTTTTATGTTGGATATATCAATATTCAGTTCGCTAAGCTGCTCACACGTTTTCTCTATGCACTCAAAGACAGACTGAATAATTTCGTTCGGGTCCTGTTCCACCCATTCTTCTTTTGGAAGCTCTTGTGATATTCTCACTTGATGTTGACCAAGTAGCTCGGCTGTTTTGGGATTGAAAACCAGAAAACGAGAGGAGTTCGTCTCCTGGACCACTCCCCCCACCAAGGACTCCCCAACCGACTTCGGGGCTGCCATGAAAGCAGTCGGTAGGCTCAGCCGCGCCGTTTCCAGGTGATAGAGGTGGGGGGCGGGGAGCGGCACGCGGTGACTCCGGAGTCTAAGGCGCAGGCGCAGCACCTACCTGGGCTGCACCTGCAGCAGCTCGAGGCAGCCGTTGTCCTCTAACTGATGCTACATCTCACCCCACCCCCACTCCCGCCTACTCAGTTATCTTTTAAGGAAGTTTTAGTTGTTTTAGAAAATCATATATTTACCCACATAATTACTATTAGCGGTGCTTTCCATTCTACAATGTGGATGCATATTTCTGTTATTTTCTTTCTGTTTGCAAGATTTTCTTCAACATTTCTTGTAGTGCACGTACGCTAAAAATGAATTATTTCTACTTTCGAATGTCTGAAGTATTTCCTCTTAATATTTAAAGATTTTTTTTTCTGGATATAGAATTGTAATGAATTTATTTATTTAAATTTTGGGCCCGAAAAGTATTGCTTCACCATCTTCTCTTGTGTCATTGCAGGTGTGAACATCATTGTCATCCTTATTTTTATCATGTCTATTTTCTTTCACTGCCTTTAAGTTTGTTTCTTTTTATGAATGGTTAGTTTTATAATGATGTTTCTTGGTGTATTATTTTCTGTATTTGGGGCTCATGAAACCATTAGAGTTATAAATTTCATAAAACTTTGAGCCATTATTTATACAAATATATTTTATTTTCTCTCTCTCCTCTGCCTTAGGGAATCCAATCACACATATTGGAATTGTTCTGCAGATCACTGATGCTCTACTCATTATTATAATTATCTTTTCTTCCTATGGTTCTTTTTATATAATTTCTATTACTATGTCCTCAAGTTTACTAATCTTTTCTTCTCCAATGTCTAACCTGCTAATTCATCCAGTATATATTTCACCTCATCATGGTAGTTTCTTGCAAGAAGTTCAATTGGAGTTTTTGAAATATTTACTTAATTTTTAACACATGAACTACAGTTAGAATACTTTTAATTTTCTGCTAATTGTAACATCTGTGTCAGTTCTGGTTCAATTTTGACTGATTAATTTATCTCCAAAAATTTAATGAGGTCAGTAAAGCAAAATTAGCAACCAAACTTAATTTGAATAGTAAGGGATTGATATCAATGGTAGATGGTATAGATTTTCCTGATAATATCTTTGTTTAGTTTTAAAAAATTCCATCAGAAAATCTCTAAGCAAAAATTTTGAGACGATACTTACCAGTATGTCAGCATACCATATTATGTTTGAATTTGCATGGAACAGATTGTTTTTAAATTTTTACAATGTTACATTTTTCTTCCCAATTATTTGACATTATTCAGTCAAAAGGATTTGACTGAAAATTTCATCTTTATATTTTCTCTCCCCTGCCATACCAAGATATATATACCCAAATGTTTCCAAACCCATGAACTTAGGGATACTTTAAAGAATTTTATATTTAATACAAGTAACTTATTAATAAAATTATCAGATCTGAGTATTAGTTTTTATTTAGTTTCACTGTTAATAAATTATAACTACTAAATAACCAGATTACAATAGTCTTAATTTAGTTTAGGAAGAAAGTTGATTTAACTTTCTTAGAGTAATTGCAAATTAAATGATGGCTTTAATCAAAGCTAATTAATAATGCTTTCCTTTTTAACTAAGACACATAAAATAACTCTATTTTTTCATTTCAAAAATATTAATAACACAGAAACTTTTGCTTGTTAGTCTATAATAGCTTTCCTATATTCTAATTTAAGTGCCTCTGTAATAACCATTGTCAGGACCTTATTTGTGAAGACATTCAACTTTACAAGGAAATTGTTATTTCATTTGCATTATATTCTATACAAATGCAAATGCTTTAATGGTGGACAAACTATTCAGAATAGTCTCCCCCAAATCAGATGCTTCTGCCAAAAGTCTATTAATATGGGATTGTTAAAATTAGAGTTGTTAAACCAATTAATTTTCTATTATTACTTATCTTTAAGGCTACTCTTCTAGATGCAGTCCTTTTAAATATAAAATTGTTTAAATGATGTTCACACTGTAAAGTTCAAAATGTATTCATTCATTCAGTAATTTGACAAAAATGTTTTGAGAGGTTGCTGTATATAGCTTTATTATAGGCAATAGCAGTGCATATACATTCTTCCTGCCTTTATTACTACAACTAAATATAATATTGACATATTTTCTTTACACATCATATTTTAGAGCACCATTAATTTATTGTTTTTTTTCCTATCAAGTCCACTAATTATAAATTCAATGAGGGCAGGTATCTTGGCTGTTTTATTCAATCTTGTGTCTTTGGCACTTAGAACAGTGTCTGACCCAAAGCAGAAACTCAAGAAATATTTGTTGAATGAGTTAATGAATACCACTATGCTATATATGATCCTCACTTTATTAAGTAATTATCATGAAATCAAGATAATTTTAATTTCTGAATGAGCTATTGGTTATTTATTTTACAATAGAATATAATAAGGTAGATTGATGAAAAGGTAAAGGGATGGAAAAGTGAAAAAATATATGATAAAATTGGTATAGCAAAATATTAATTGTAGAGTTAATGTGGTAGATAAAATGGTGATGGTGGTAAAGTTCTTTCAATTTTTCTATATGTTTACAAATTTTTATGACAAAATATGGGGAAATGTAATGCAAATAAAAAGCTGGTCAAGCTGCAAAATGCAATTAATAGAGATCAATTTCATCCAGGTTCTTTTGTTTGTTTGGAGAGACAGTTGATAGGAATAAGAGTCACTGCCAACTTTATGATAATTTGAGAGGGTCTGTGGTGGAATAATCTAGTTATAATTGTTCATCTCAAGAAAATACCTTTTTATTAAGGTATTTGCACTTTTATTGTAGGAATTTTCTTCTGCCATTGTAAAACTTGTAAATCTTAGGGAGCCAGCTGCATCTTTAACTCCTTGGCTTTTAACAAGAAATATCAGGCATTCAAAAATGCTGCCACTCTTTTCAATCTCTAAAGAGCGGGAATCAGTTTTGAAAGTTTCAAGTTTATAAAATTTGGACTTATCTGAGCCTTTCATTTGAGAGTGTGTGCCTTGATGGTAAGGGCTTTGAATTATATAGTTTGGAAATTTAACATTTTTTTTTTAGATTGTGTCATAACCAATGTATCATCACAGTTGGTAATCTTCAAAACACTGATGCATTTTTCTACATGCTGTTCCCAAATGTGCTGGACCAGCTGTTGAGAGCCATGCCATCCAATTTCCTAGAGAAGACCTCTTCTTGGACCACAAATCACCTCTTGGACTAGCCCTCTTTGTTCTAAAAAAGATTGGAAAAATCTAAGCAAGTTACCATGGTTTATTACTCACGTTTTCTCTGTTAAGCCTGGGCTGTGGAAGTCACCGCATCCACATTAGGAGGCCTTGGCATTCTAAGTAAGCCCTCATAACAGACAAGCCAGTGAGTTTAATATTCACGGCTATGAAAGTGATTTTATGAATGTTTGTATCTTGAAATGTTTTATTGTGTGAATGTGCATGTGTGTGCGTGTGTGTGTGTGTGTGTGTTTGTATGTGTTCTTTGTCATTTTCCCAGTGAAAATTGCCCTGACACTGATCTCAATGTTAATGTATTCCTGCTTACATTTGACTTTGGAATATGTTACGGCTAATTATCATTACACAGGATGAAAGATCAGAGCCCTGAGTGAGGTGCTTGGGTTTAGGAACAAAGGGAGGCCAATTCGGCATCTTGGCTCTAGGCCCAACAATTGTAATGGAACATCTTGAATCTGGTGGGGTCTTTGTAGCTATTTATTTTACTTTTTCTCCCTCAATTTTTGAAAGGGGGTAGCAGGGAGGGGTTAAGGGTTTGAAGGGGCTGAAATTTCCCCTTGAACATGATGTCAATATGTTGGCACGTCTCCTTTTATTAAGATGCCATCCAACTGATAACAAGTCCTGCTGTGTTTTACCAACATAAAAAATTAGACTGGAGACCGAGGAGCGGCAGGTGGCTTTTGGCACCAAGAAATAATCACACTTGATGTGGAAAGTAAAGTAAAAGGAGCCATCTGTTCACTGCAGGAGGACGTGGAAAATCACATTAACATATTGTCACTAACATCATGAAATACACAGTTAATAATAAATTTAGTTATCATGGCAAGTCGCGTTGGATACTTACTCTGATGCGGAATGTGAAAGATGTTCTTTCTTGCCCACCTCATCTTTTTTTTAGGGGGTGGGGATAGAGATTTTAAGTCTTTCTTTGGTGTGTGTGTGTGTGTGTGTGTGTGTGTGTGTGTGTGTGTGTGTGTGGCATGGTTGCGGGGAGGAATGCATTTCATTTTAAAGCCTTGCTGTGGTTCATTGTTGCTGACTCAGTGAACAAGAGAGCCTTTCATGCAGGTGGAATGAATGACTTCTTTGATTCCATCCACTTATTGTCCAGCATGTTATTCTGTAACTTCTTACCTGGGTGGAGAAAAAGAGATGTAGGAGAGAAAAAGGTTGTTTTGATCATGTCCCCACATGAGATTCAGAGCACACAAATCCTTCCAGGAAAGGCGTGGGGTGGCAGGATGCTGCTACAGAAGAGGATCAGTGATTGGCTCTCCTTGGACAACCCAGTCTGCCTTTGGTCAGTAGCGTTCCTGCTGCATGGGTTCTAGTGGATTCTGTGAGATGCCTGCAAATACTTTATAAGAGAACAAATGTGTTAAAACAATGCGATGAGAAGGTTTTCTTGCACTTTTCTGTGCCTGTGTTGTTTACATATGCCAACCAAATAAAGAAGCTACAGGGGCTGGACGTCAAACTGATCTTGGAAAAATTGGAATTGTTATTTCTGAGTCATTATTAGAGCCATGTTTATACATTATTTAATTTTTATTTTATTTTTCAATTACAGTTGACATAAAATATATCAGTTTCAGGTATACAATATAGAGATTAGACATTTCTATAACTTACGAAATGATCATCCTGATAAATCTAGTACTCATC